AATAGAACCAAAGAGAGTGGCGAGTGGCCAGCACCACGCCAGGCCGCCTTTGTCCTCCCTAGTGGAAATGTTTTTTACACATCACACTGGGTGCTCAACTGAGGCTGAATCGACCTAGCGGAGGTCCAGGTCCGACTCAGATAAATAATCGCTGGTGTTGCCGGGTTGACAGCTCCACTACCGCTCCCCACACAGATCCAGAGACACCACGCACACAGAATTTGAACAGAGCCGTGACCTTCTGCTCTCTCCCACATTATCTGCCTCTTGTAGCCCGGTCATTCTGCCCAGAGGCAGCCAGGAGAGGCAAGCTGGGTGAGGTTTCGTAGGTGTGTGAATACATGGAGATATTTTTTGTTAAATAATAAGCCAAGAATGATGTGTGTGTGTCCCGTGCGTGACGTCACTCCACATGAGGCCCACCTTCCCCCCCCCCTCATTAATATTCATGAGTGGGTCTATTGTTCCACAAACGCAGAGGAAGGTCGAGCTGAATTAAAAAATGTATTACGCAAAATCGCTGCAAATATGACGTTTCTTTACAGAAAGTGACGGTAAAAATAAATCTACGCGTGGTGCTGGCCACCCACCCCTTCATGTACCGTTCCAACCTTCACAGGTGCTGCTCGCTAACAGCACTTGCCCCAACATTCTGTTTAGGCTACTCGGGGGATCTTTGTCTTTACAAATGGTGAGGATTCAGGGTCACCGTTCAATTCCAGAATCAATAATATTGTGAACGCTGCGTTGAGTGCAGCGTCCTCTAGTGGCAGCACAGGTACGGAGAACCCCATTGCTTATAACGCATACATTAAACTATAGTTTAATAATGGTGCTGTTGATTCTTCTCCATAGAAGAAGTGTAGGGTTTTGCAATAGGCTGTTTGACAGCGGGCAATTACATGTATATTTTTTTTGTACTTTAATTTGTTATTTAAATTTTAAGTTGTTTAAGATTAGCGAAATCACTTAGTGGAGGTGTTTTCAAGTGCTGCCGTTCAGGTGAATCGACATTCACGGACGTTGGTTGGACACACGGATGGACACAGATGGCTTGATACATGTTTAACATACAGTGTGTACCGAATGAGACCTTTTTTGACAGTATCAGAGTATGAAAAAATAAGAATAAGTGTGACCCTTTCTGGCAATAAAACAGGTGTTAAGATTTCGATTTGAAGCTTTCGTGACTGCAGGGATTCATATTCTTGGTTCTTTCGGTAAAGTCACGTTATTTTGTATTATTTCCCTTCTACGTGACTTTACCGAAAGAACCAATAATAGGTGTTAAGATATAGGAATAGGTTTTACCCTTTTAACTGGCACAAAAACTGACACCTTTATTCAAGGCATCATGTTTGCTTGTGTTGTGGTTATTGCAAACATGATGCCTTGAATAAAGGTGTCAGTTTTTTGTGCCAGTTAAAAGGGTAAAACCTATTACTATATCTTGTTACTGGCAAAGGAGGTCTCATAAAGTTGTTAAGATGTCCAAACACCAGACAGAAACCTTTTGCAGGGAATCATGTTTGCATTACCCACACACACTTGTGGTGTGTACCGGTTGAACACGCAGGCTTTTTTATGGGGTTTGCCAAAATTCTGTAAAACCGCCTGATGAAGCTGGTTGTAATCACCAACGAAAGGTCTTACTGACATTGCAAATGTTGTGGGATTACTCTCAAACATACCGGTATGCGCAAGTAGTAACTAATTGGCACGTTTTGTTTGCGTGACAAACCTTACTAGTTAGATGTGTCGGGTGGTGGCGGGTTAACGACACATTTATATTTAAGTTATCTAACCTAAAACACTTTTGGTGTGTATTGTATATACTTACGTAGGAAAAGACTGAAACATTTTCAGGCACATCACTTTCAATTATTATTTTAGCTAAAACATGTATAGTTGCTGCTGAACAATTAATGCTCTTTGGTTCTTTCGGTAAAGTCACGTAGGTAGAAAAATAAAATAAAACAAAAAATAATAATATATCACGACGTTTCGATCGCAACACAGGTTCAGCAGTTCCACTGCTGGATTATTTTTTCCGCCTGAGGACGACCGCTTGTGTTACGATCGAAACGTCGTGATATCTTATTTTTGGTTTTATTTTATTTTCTATCTACGTGACTTCAAATCAAGATTGTACAAATAATACTTGATTATTGTACAACTATTATTACTAACTCGAAGGCACACTTTTATTTGCATGATCTATAACAATGTATATACAACTGGTTAACTAAAATAAACACCCTGGACTGATGTTTATCAAATCATAGAGTGCGACATTAGACAGCTGATGATTCAGACTCAACTGCCGCCACCTCAGTGCCAGATGTGCAGAGTGCTCACTTATCGAGGTGGCTGACAGCCAGACACATTCAGAGGGGCAAAACAAAGAGCAGAGAGACACTTTGCTTTCACCGTGAAGTGCTTACTTACACATTATGACAGAGGCATGTGCATGGCTGTTGACGGCGGCTCTGGAATGCCCTGTTTGATTCACTCACGTTGTCTGACGTACCGGCAGCACAGCAGCCCGTGCCTCTGCTGAATCCGTTCACTTGGCTCCGAGAAACGTACACTGGCATGTGACCTCGTCTCACGTCTGAAAGATTTCCGTCTCCAGTTAATATCTATGCTTTCTCTCTCGAGTATAAGTGGAGCCGTTTGTTGCCAGGATAACGAAACAAACTTCTTCGTGGAAAGTTTTGTTATAGTTAAATACAGTTGCATTTCAGTTGGGTGATACATGAAGTGGTTAACTATGTGCTTGAAGTAAATACAAAGTCATGTCAACCTACAAAGTCATGTCATTGACAGTGTAAGGTACACACAACCACTATATAGGATAATTCTTATCTGCGGCTCTTATACACGACTTTCATTATCTGCGGCAGCTATATGGCCCGCGGAAACTCCTATATATGTGGCCCTATTCTTCCTATTAACCGAGATTATCTACGACTTCTTCCACTAGTCTTTGCGGAATGACATCCTATTATCTGTGATTTTTTGTTTAAGTTAAGAGGAGTTACGTTCCAAATATCCTCAACGTTTTATATTCGGAAGAAGTAAAGATGCGGTTAAGAGGATCTGCGATATTGGTCCCCCCACATTACGGTTTACAAGATAAATTATGTACTATTAGTACTGTAGGAGTAAATTGTAGTTTTATTATCTGGAGTGGGACTTGAAGGTTGTAAGAGATGAGAAATTCCTACAAATTTTGCATTCAATTTATACAATCCCAGCCTGGAAGATTCCCGCATGCATAGGGGTTACGATTCTTCATTTGGTGAATTCCATATAAAATCACCAAGCAACTTAATAGGATCCTAACAGGAATTCTGCAATTTAATAGAATTGCGATTTAAAGCTTTCGTGACTGCAGGGATTCATCTTATTGGTTCTTTCGGTAAAGTCACGTAGAATGGAAATGAAATAATAAAAATTAAACATAATAAAATAAAATTATCACGACGTTTCGGCCACAAAACAAGTAGCCTTCTTCAGGTGAAGGAACAGAATTGTCGGGACGACAGCGCTTGAATGAACGCTGCTAAGATTCGCAGCGTCTTTTAAGCTAGGTGGGAGAAGTAAAACGCCTTGACAAAGGAGTTTACATATCAAACAGGAGAATTTAGCATTGAAATAGCTGTGTTAAAGTGTTGGATCAACAGGGTGCTAAAGTCAGAAATGATCATGTAACTGGGAGATTAGCATGATGTTAATGTGAGGGATTAGCATGTGACTGGTCACGGAAATAGCTATGTTAAAGTCAAAGTTTACATATCAAGAGGCATTTAATATGTGGATGCTAAAGGACTGCAACTACCCAACTATCATACAATAAACCGATGTGGAAAAACTAAGTATAAACTACATCAATATAATAAACGTACTCAATATATTATTCAATAGGTTGAGCTATTAACATAAAGTAACTGGGTATACACTACACTATATAATGAATATCACATAGTAAACTAATAAAAAACTAAAATATAAACTACATCAATGTTATCAATGAACTCTATATACAGTACTCTCCAATCAGCTGAGCTACTAACAATAAGTCGTTATACATTACAATGCCATATGGCGAAAAAATGGGTGGCGTTTTTTTCTTTTCAACGTTAGCACCACGGAAAGCGACGAGCTTTGTTCAGACGGACAAGTCCATCTATGCTCGGAACGGAGGAGGGGGGAGAGAGAGAAACAGCCACGATGCGCTGCTCTGTCCTGTGTTGCGTTACAACTATGTTATAAACTAGACTACTATACATTGCAATGTTATACCTTCCAATCTAAACTACATTGTATAATATCGTATACACAGCCCAATGTAAGCTCTAACATTATGCATTATATTGATATGTCTCCAACTAAACTTTTTTCTACATTACACGACTATACACCGTACTATACACTGCCATTGACAAACCCACCCTTGAATTATACAATGCGTTACTATACACTACCCTATACTTTAGACTGTCAAATATTAGACTTGTAATATTACACTATGTATTATTCTACCAACCCTACTGTATACCACACTGCCGTATATTCACTATACAATTACAATACTATATATTGCCTTATGAATGTCACACAATCCCATTGGGAATGATGTGATTCCGGAAATTTAATTGCAGTCTTAGGCCAGGATTTGTGAAAATCTGTAAGTTATATAGATCATATGATGTTAATTTAAAAGTAAAAATTCAGCACTGTAGTATATACAGAACTGTATAAAATCTACTGCCAAGGTATGCATGCACTCTCCTATCTTGTTACATATGGATAAGTTAAATGCATTTAAAATTAAAATCTAGTCCCGTAATTTCACCAGATAAATATTTGGCAGTCACATTGTGCTCGTCTGTACATACACTGGTGTGGTATCAGTATTTGATGGTGCTGAGATAGTGCCAACCAATTTAAATATTTCCTGGGGATGCGGTTGGACGTGTGTTTTGTTGGTGCAGCGAAGCAGCAAAGCCTCCGTGCTCTTGGCAGAGAGAGAGCATATTGTGGCGTACCTCTGCCTTCTGACCCGTTTGGTTTATTCGGGCTCACGCACTCGGACGCGTCGCTTCGTAACCTTCTTGAGGGCACGACTCAAGAAATGCAGTCGGGCCCGCCCAAGGCACGGCCTGCAAATACAGGTCAGAAGCTTGAGATTTAGCACACACACACACACACGTGTGTATGGGACAAAACATATTTCTTAGCTGCTCAAAACACACTACTCAGACTGTCGAAGCACAATATTTTTTCTTAGATAATTAGTGGTATCGACAAATGAACCTTATGGCATAAACTGCGTTGCGACGTCATTTTATATCATCTGTTGAAGGCGAACTACACGGCAATCTATTCCTTTCGACGAGCTCTACACGCTGCGCTAATCAAAGTTTAAAAGTTTTGTTTATGGTTACGGCAATTTTGTCAACGACGGGTGCTTGGTGAAGAACGAGGAGAGGAGTGATTTCTGGTGGGTCGCGGCGTTTATGTGCGCGGTGGGACGGAGTCGCCAAAAATGGGTAAATTAATTAATCAAGATTTTGACTTCTGTTTATTCTGGACCCCGGGGTCCCGCCATAAGGTTCAAATACTAAAATTCATTACGTTTCTGTTTTAATTTTTTTAAACTGTATTTTACACTTTCCTTTTGTTACTAGACTTGCCGCAGTTCAAATATGTGAATGATGAGAAGCCCCTTCAACATAGAAAGATGCAGATTCAATGTACAATGCACATCTTGGCATTGTTGGCCACAACATGGCCACACATGCAGTTATTTTGAGCTGGTGGTCAGCATAAGGCTGAGCGCTTTTGTACTTGCAATGCACATCCCTAATGTGTTCTTAAATCTGAACTCCCATATTTATGCTGACACACATGATTCCTTCACGTAAAATATGTTGAAAACAAATGTTTTGTTCTAAAAATACACCTCAATGCATCCCTCACTAATATCTGTTTCCTTTCCCAGAAAATCAAGAATATAATTTTATTTTTCCAAAATGTTTTGACCATTTGTTTGTTATTCCGTAAATATGTCATTACATTTTTTTATTTAAAGCTTTCGTGACTGCAGGGATTCATATTCTTGGTTCTTTCGGTAAAGTCACGTAGAAGGGAAACAATAAAATAATAAAAATATAAAACAATAAAATTCTCACGACGTTTCGACGGCAACACAAGCAATCATCATCAGGTGTGAAAACCACAGCAAGAACATTTTTAAAAAGTTGCGGTTATTTTTAACGTTAGCACCACGGAGAGCAATTTGACAGTTTGTTCAGATGGACAAGTCCATCTATGTTCGGAAAAGAGGAGGGGGGAGACGAAAAATGATGGATGCGGTCTGAAAGCCACCGTAAGCGTGAACAATCAATTAAGACCTGAAATGGTTTATCAAATCCTTCCAATGATTGCTAGTCCAGAATCCATCTTCTCGGTTGAAATTTTCTCGGTGTTTGTATATGTGGATAGCCTCATGAACGAATCTCTCATGGTAGCCAGATGGCTTGCAAATAACCTCTGTCTTGGAGAAGTCAATGTCATGTGAGCCTACTGAATTATAACAGTGATCTGCCACGGCCGAGGTGTTGGTCCTACCGCGTTTTAGGTCTGCTTTGTGTTCACGAATGCGGTCCGAGACATGTCATTTGGTTTATCCAATGTAACTACTACCACAGAGGCAACTTAGTTTGAGACGCCAGGATACTGTATGTCCGGAATCACATATTTTACAGATGGAACCAGATCACGGATTTTATGTAATGTGTTGAATCGGACCTGGATCTTGTGTTTATTCAAGATTTTGGAGATCTTTTTTGTGATCCCCGCAATGTAGGGTAAAGTGATGGTTTTGAAAGGCTCCTCAAGAGGGTCCTTCTTCATGGTTGGAGTGATAGCTTTGCGGATTGTGTAGTCGGAGTAACCATTAGCCTTACGAGCTTGGTGTACATGCTTGAGTTCACTGGCTATGTGTTCCTGGTCGGATGTGCATTGGGCTCTATGGTGCAGAGTCTTGATGAGGGAATTCTTCTGAGATGGATGGTGGTGGGAATCCGGTTTCAGGTAAGCATCCGTATGGGTAGCTTTCCTGTAGACAGAGTGGCTCATTGAACCATCAGGTCTCTTTTTTATTAGGACATCCAAAAAAGGTAGCTTGCCATCTTTTTCGACTTTCATGATAAATCTGATGGCTGGGTGTATGGAATTGATGTGGTCGAAGAATTGGTCTAGAGCAGGCCGGCCATGTGGCCAGATGACAAAAGTGTCATCCACGTACCTCTTCCATAAGGTTGGGCGTAGAGTGCCAGTCTGGATGGCTTTTTTTCGATTTAAAGCTTTCGTGACTGCAAGGATTCATCTTCTTTGGTTCTTTCGGTAAAGTCACGTAGAATGAGAATAAAATAATAAAATAAAACAATAACATTCTCACGACGTTTTGGCCACAACACAAGCGGCCTTCTTCAGGTGAAGGAACAAAAAACTGTCGAGACGACAGAACTCCAAACGACAGAGCTCCAAACATTGGAGCTCTGTCTAATGTTTGGGATACTTCAGTGTTTAGTCCTTGATGAAGTCTTCAATGATTGTGATGGTGTCAGGTATAGGAACTTTGGTGAATAAGGAAACTACATCAAAACTGACAAGCAGGTCGTCTGGGGACAGGGAAATACCCTTGATTGTCGATACCAGGTGAGTAGAATTTTGTACCGCAGAGGTGGTTTTTCCAGTGAAAGGCCGCAGTATTTCAGACAGAAAACGAGCCAGTTTGTAAGTGGGGGAGTTGATAGTAGAGACGATGGGATGAAGGGGTGTATTTACTTTATGTATTTTTGGTAAGCCGTATAATCTTGGTGGCCTGGCAGCAGAAGGTTTCAACGAAAACTGTTTGGTGTGATCAATTAATGTGGTTGAATCAGAAATGATGTTGTTTATTTGTATGACGAAGCTGTTGGTGGGATCTCTTTTTATTTTTGTATAGCTGCCATCGTTGAGTAATTCTTGAATTTTGTTGTTATATTCTATTTCATCCATGATGACAGTGGCATTGCCCTTATCGGCTGAGAGGATGACAATGTCATCCCTCTTTTTAAATTTATATAATTCAAAACGCTCATCTTTGCTGAGGTTGCTAGCTGGCATCTTAGCGTTTTTGAGGGTTGCAGCGATTTCAGATCTTGCTACCTCTGGAGCGATGTGACACAGGCCCTTGAGAGCCACGTCTACTTGGGCAATGATATGATTACCTGGTATGTGTTTAGGTGTAACTGCAAAGTTTAGCCCTTTAGCTAAAAACGGATTTCAGACCATCGGAAATAGAATTGTTACTGCGATTAATTACGACTTTGTTCACGTATAGCCTTTTGGTGTGTGGGTCCGGTCTTTTGTTGGAGAGGAGGTTAAATTTGGAAACCAGGTTGTCCTTACATTTGGTCGACAGTGGCAGCTGAAGAGGCAGTCCTATTGTCTACATGTTCCCAATCCGATGTGGACATTGTTGCCGTCAATGATAAGTATGATTTGTAGAGTGTCTTGTCGAACTGATCTAGTTCGGTGCGTAGTAGTTACATTGGAGAAACCAAACGACATGTCTCGGACTGCATTCGTGAACACAAAGCAGACCTAAAACACGGTAGGACCAACACCTCGGCCGTGGCAGATCACTGTTATAATTCAGCAGGCTCACATGACATTGACTTCTCCAAGACAGGTTCTTTGCAAGCCATTTGGCCACCATGAGAGATTCGTTCATGAGGCTATCCACATATACAAACACAGAGACAATTTCAACCGAGAAGATGGATTCTGGCTTAGCAATCATTGGGAGGATTTGATAAACCATTTCGGGTCTTAATTGATTGTTCACGCTTACGGTGGCTTTCAGACCGCATCCATTGTTTTTCGTCTTCCCCTCCTCTTTTCCGAACATAGATGGACTCGTCCATCTGAACAAACTGTCAAATCGCTCTCCGTGGTGCTAACGTTAAAAATAACCGCCACTTTTTTCAAATTTTCTTTCTGTGGTTTTCACACCTGATGATGATTGCTTGTGTTGCAGTCGAAACGTCGTGAGAATTTTATTGTTTTATATTTTTATTATTTTATTGTTTCCATTCTACGTGACTTTACCGAAAGAGCCAAGAATATATGTCATTACAATTTATTTTAACCATTTGTAAAATGTATCGGTGATAATGGAAATCATGCTGTAACTAAGAACACTGCCAGCAGAACGAGAGCCATGTGCAGCCGTCTGGAATGCTCTTTCTTCCGATACTAGGAAGCCATTAGAGCTATGCACTTTTAAATAATCTCGATTGAAAACTCTTTTCTTGAGGACTGCTTTTTCTGTTTAGTCATTTGTCCTTTCCCCGTATCTCCAATTAGCACGGTAGGCTAGGTACAGTGCAAAATAAGTTCTACGTACATATTGAGGCAGAGCATGTAAAAATTGTACATAATTACATATTTAATAATTCTCTGTTTGCAATTTTACCACTTATGTCTCACTGTGCTTTTGGAATCCATGCGAGGTGTGAAGAACTTCCTATACGTTCTTATAATATGTATAAACGTATTGATGCTCCACTCATGTTGCCTGTTTTCCTGCGCCGAGTTGATATTTTTTTATTGGATTTAGTGTGGGCACTTTACCTTCTTCAACTCAAATTTGCATAAAATGTGTGAAAGTTTTTGCCATTGATATTTTGGTGTTCGTTTCATAAGAAATTTGGTTATGTAACTAACTTGCAGATTTTCAATTTTAATCTCACTGCATTCGCAAAGAGAATGGTAATAAATTATTATTAGGTGAGTAATGTTATGATGATAACGTTGCTACCAAGTGAAAAATTACTTTTTTGCATATTCACAGGATGCAGTTTGCCTGTGTACAGTAATACAAAATGATAATTCAAGCCTCTGCTATTCAATACAAAGCTTTGTATATCCATAAAGTCACTTTTATTCTAAAAGCAAACTACACAGACCTCGCCAAAACCGAGGTGAAATTATATCCTAATTGGTGCACAATAAAGCGTGACATTCATATATCAAAATAAGATAGGCATCCAGAGAATCTTAAAACAAATTCGATCCTCCGTTAATCAGATGTTTGGTCTAAAAGAAATGAGCGAATCAC